CAGTTTACAATTAATACAATACAAAATCCTGCATAGAGTGCACTATACAGGGCATCGGATGTTCAGGATGGGTTTTACATCTTCGAACAACTGAACACTGTCAAGGAGATACACCTGACAATTACATTCAATTCTGTCCACCTGCTCAGATGTTCTGGCGCAGGATTTGTGAGGACTTATCAAAGTGTCTGAAATGTACCATTGCAGCCTCTCCTTCAGTCTGCTTGTTGGGCAACCTAGATGATGTCACTACAGAGATTAACACAATCCACATGGCTTTCACCGCTTTATGCATTGCTAAGAAGACTGTCCTAATGAACTGGAAAAATAAAAATAATCTTAATATCAACCAATATAGAGACAGTTAGCTGGACCACATTAGTCTCATTACAGCTTCTGCCACCACATTAGATCAATCTCTCTGGGCTCCTTTGATCAGCTCCATCAGCTAGTGGGGGTGGGGGGTCGCAGGTTTGTCCCGCTTCGGTCTTTGTTGCTGGCGTGGGGGGGGCATATGGGTTTGGGGCTTCTGGGGGTTCCCTAGGGGTGGGTTTCTGGGGGGGTTCGGTGTTGGTGCTGGTGCTGTGGTCCTGGCCTGGATGGGGCTTTGGTGGCTCTTGGGTGGCGTCTTTCTGGCGGCTGCATGCAGCGCTGCTGGGGTAGCCTGTGCCGGCAGACATAGGTTACCGGCCTGGCGGCCGTGCTGCTCCTGGGTGAGTCCGGGGCGGGCTTGGGGTTCTGGGGGCGCTCTGTCTCCGGGCTGGGGTTCTGGCTGGGCTGGGGGGTCTGTCGGCATGTGGGTTGGCGCGTGCACTGGGGCCCGGCCCCGGCACGGTGGGCTTCGGCGCGTCGGTGAGGCTGGGGTCTCTTTAGCTGGCAGGGAGGTTGTTACCATCTGTCTGCAGGTGGTCCCTGCCTTAAGGGTATCCACTCTGCAGGGGGGGGATCCAATAGAGGAGGAGAATGGACTCAACCTGGGTGTCTATTGTCTTATGTAGTCTGGGAGTTGATTGAATGGTGGGGTGGGGATAGTTTTTCCTCTGTGGTGGGGTCCGGTTGGCTGCCCCAGGCTCTGTGGTGCCCGGTGGTGCCGCTGCTCTGGGCCCCAGTCTGGATGGGCCTGGACCCCCCGCCCTGGGTGGATTTCAGGGAACGGGGGTGATTATGGGGGTCAGCGGGGGAGCTGGCTCCAGAGGGGGGGTACTTGCCCCCCCGCAGTCCTTTCCTCCCCATCCCTAAGTGCTTCCCTCCTCCCGCTCCATCACTCCAACACACATGTAGGGCTTTGAGGTGCAGGTGCGTCGCTGGGATGCAGGGGAGGTATTCCTCCTCTGTCCCCTCCTGACCACCTGAATCTCAATCATACATCACAACTTAGACACTCTCATTACTTACTCTCTCATGACACATACATTTAGGGCCTTGGGGGTGGGCACATGGAATGGCGTCCAGAGGGCAGTCTGTTCACTCAGCCTTACCTCTGGTGCCAGTGCCCACTTCTCAATTTTAAGTCGCACATAGACACTGAGGGCTCTGGGGAGGGGCCGAGCTGACACCAGCTGTTGATTGACAGAGGGTGGTTAGCGCATGCCCATCCCCTGTTTTAAAGCACTTTAGAACAACACGCACCAACACCACATATGAGCGGGCGGAGGGAAGCATGGGGTCTTTTCATAACCCCGTTCTCTGTTCGCCATCTGGAGCTGGGGGCCGTCCAGTCGGGGTCTGGGCTGGTGGGCTTCTTGGCTGCTGCGGGGTCTGCGGTGGTCTTCTGGTCCCCACACTAGAGGAAAAAAAAAAAGGGGTCCATCTCCGGGGTCTGGTGGCGGATTGCCCCTCTGGGGGTGGTGGTGCCTGGATCTCGGAGTATAGAGTATATATGGGGAGTGTGAGTGTGTGTATGGCGTTCATTTCTGTGTGTCTCCATGTTGGGTGATTGGGTGAACATTTGTTTATGTGTGCATGAGGGTGGGAACGTATGCTTCTGTATGTGTGCACCTTTTTGTCTAAACGCATGTGTCAGGTTGGGTCTTAGACTGCACCTGGAATAACATCTCAGGCTCTATTCCCCCCCGTCACACTCCCTGCCGGTGGATGGGGCCTCCGGCTGCCGATGCGTTGGTGGTTCTTGACGTCCGGGGTTGGATGCTCTGGTGTGTGCTGGCTCACTCTTGGCGGTTGACTGGCGGGGCCTGGCCCTCCCGGCTCTGTCGGGCCCCGGCTGGGGGGTGGGGGGGGCCTTGGATCTCTGGGCCCGGGGTCCGGTCTGCCCTGGTGTGGCCGGCTGCTGGCGGTGCTTGCGGGCTCGCCGCCACGGCCCCCTGGGGCTCCTGCGATGTGGCTGCCGGATGGCCCCCCTCCAGAGCGCTCCTCTGCCCTTTTCTGGGTGGGGGCTGCAATTGTCCCTGCAGTGATCCTCCTGGGGATCCCGTGCCCTGGGGGACTCAGGATGTCTGGGGCCCGGGTCTCCTCTGTGTCAGCTTCATGTCCTGGGGGGGCGGGGGTGTGGCTCCCCACACACACTACTAGACATTTACATGGAGAAACCTTATGAACACCAGCACGCTGACACACACAGGTGTTCACACAGGTGCTCACGGACACACACTGTCTTGATCGGCTGTTGCTTCTGGACATGTGTTGTAATGCTGGTGGTTGGCGCTGTTCAACAACATTTAACGTTTGATGTTCATTGTGATTTGTACAGATGTTGGTTGTTGCTTTTCTCTCTTCAGTAGACATGGAAGCAGATTATGTTTTTTTTTTCTCTTCTCTCTCCCTCTCTCTCTATCTCCCTTCTTCTCTTTTCCCCCCTCTCTCTCCCTCTCCTCCTCTTTAGGAAGTAAATAAATAAATAAATTAAATTAAATAAATGAATGAGAAAATAGAAATAAAGCAGTCCTCCGCAGAGGGGTGGTGGTGGAGAGAATATATATATAAAAAAAGAAATGGCAGGCCACAGCAGTGTTAGGTTGTTCTGTTATGTCTGCCTCTGTCTCCTGCGTATCTGTCCCTATCTGTTGAGCTGTTTGACTTCTCCCTACCACTTTTGCTTTCCACGATGTATACATTCTCTCATTGTGGTATTGAACCTCTTGCCATGTATGGTTATCTCATTTTTCCCCCCCTAAATGTCTCCATGTGTGGTGCTGGGGTGGGTAATGGTTGCTCTCCTGTGTTTTCTTTTATTGTTGGGCTGAGGTCAGCCCTTTTTCTTGATGAGGGGGAGATGTAATGAGCTAAATGTCAGGGTTAACCACGTGATGTGGGAGTGTGCATGTGTGCACGTGCAGCCAGACGGAGACGGAGGTGACGCAACGAGATTGAGCGCGACATACCAGCGAGGGCAAGGGAAGAGGAGAAGACGTATCCTTGTGTTCTGTGTACAACTACCGACAATAAAGTACCGAGTCCTGTCCACCTGCCCTGGTTATTGTGTGTCTGTAAGCGGAGTCGACTGCAGGCACACCTGTGGACGAGTGGGTTAACCCTCAGAAGAAATCCTCCGAGGCTGCACCCATCGCTTCAACTAAAAACCCAGCTCATCACACAGGTACAAAAAGTTGATATATACTGAATATACTGAATATGAATAATCAGAAGCTTAAAAGACAATGATAAAAATATTACTGACTGCTGAAAATTTCCACGATTGCAGAGGAAAAAAAAACTTGGAACGATGTTTTGAGGTGCTGAAATCATGCTTTATTTAATCAATTAATAAAACTCAAGGAGGTTGATCTTATAGATAAAGCTACATTAATAAATTCAATTAAACCAAAGTTTAGGACATGCAGTTAATGCATTTGGTTTCTGACAAATTGTGATACACTGTGGTACAATTGCTTGGTAGGTGCCCTGACTAAGGACAATGTGAAATCCTAAAAGCGAACACACTTAGACACACAAACGCACGCGCACACCCACACATACAACCACAATGCACCCAAGCAATCCTCCAAGAGATGGCCCTGTTTCTGCAGAGAAGTACTTGAATGGCCTGAGTGAGGTAAAGGCCAGGCAATGTTCATCTCTCAGGTCCAGTCAAGCAGTCCACTACCAGAAACAATGCACATAAAACAATATCGCTCACAAAGTGCAGGCCGCTCGCACTGTGGGCGTTTCCATAAAATCCTGTAGTGACATCGTCTGTCTGAACATGAGACCTAGTTGGACAGCTTGCGTGAGGGTGTACAAACTGCACTCAAGGTCTTATGATCATGAAAAGAATTCATGTGAGTAAGGTGAAACTTATTGCACGTGTGGTCATACAGTGCAAATTTCTACTATTCTAGAAAAAAACATCAACAGGGAAGCATCTACCCGCTGAGGCAGTCTTGTCATCAACGTACTGTTGAGGCACAGAGTTTAGTTTCAAGTTTTTCAGGGTATTCGTTTTTTTTTTTTTTTTTTTAAAAAAAACTTTCTCCTGTTAAACATCTAGTTCCACTTCTTTAAGTTAATATTTCCATAAATAACAACGTATACATTTTCCATAACCGGTAAATTCGGCTATATACATTATGTACATGTTACAGAGAAGTGGCCCAATAATCAATCGAAAGTCAGTTACCCAAAATGGCACATTTTAACATCTTACATTTTAGTCTAATTTGGCATAAATTATTGTCAAATTTGTTATAAAAATATTTCATATTTACAATAAGTCAATTATTTAAAACACTTTTTGCTCATTTAATAAATGAGGAAATGATGGAGAAAAACCACAGCCTTGATCAGACAAGCGGTTATAGATGTGGAGGAACGATGGATGCCTGGGGATGGATGAAGGAAGGATGGCAAGCTTAAAGACAGTATGTGTTTACATTGATCGAATGCTGATGTGGACAGTGGCAGTGTCTGACCCAAGCTCGTTAGTCAGTTTTAAGGTATAAGGCCCAGCATCTTTCTCTTTGACACCACTGATAATGAGGGTGGTAAGGTCCTCAGTAGTTTCAATGTGGAATCTGCTGCTCTGCTCATCTTTCAACAGCGTTTTACCCAAATGGGACCATTCAATATCCACGGGCATCCCTGAGAAAGCACAGGCCACCATTAGGACCTTGCCCTCTTCTATGCATATGTCTTCAGGTAGAGCTTCGATTTTAGGTGGCGCACCTGTTTAGGGAAGTAATATAAGACATAGGTTTTAAATACACAACACTAATAAAATACATATCTAAATTAAACCAGGATGATAATGATGCATGTGAGTAATTGAGTTGCACTAATATGTGCCAAAACTCACCTTGAAGACACTGTGATGTAAATGTATGGCTGGCCATTTTCTCAGTCTTTGCTGTTATAGACCTTGATGATATAGAGGACACAGTGGTACAAGATATGGATTCACATGTAGCCTCAGCCATGCTGGTGCTGCTGAAGCCAACCTCCTGCATGGAAGCAATCCGCCGTGTCGCCATTGCAGAGAAACCTTCCTGTGTGACTGATATACTGGTGAGTTTGTCAGACATGGATGTGTGGACTTCCTCATGATGAATTTCTGTCACACCTTTGGCTAAGATGTCTTGGCTTTCAGTAGAAAGAGTTTCAGGTTCAAGGAGAGCTGAAACAAAATTATAAATATTTATTTAGTGTTTTGGTATATGTCCCTATAATAACTCTACTAAGTTCCTTTCCTACCTTGGATGGTTACACGACAGCTTGTTGTAGAAGATCCAGCAGTATTCTTTGCAATGCATTTGTACACTCCACTATCAGAAACCACAGACTCATAAATCTCCAGGTGTGCACATCCACCCTCTTCATATATCTCATATCTTCCACCTTGCAAAAGCACCTGCAAATAAAGACAAATGCAAAGCAAGTATTTTATAAATCTATGCATTCCTGTACGTAGTACATATTATTTATTGGTTCCAGTAAGAATGTTAGTATAAACAAGCTTCCTGACTATTTTACCTGATTTCCTTTTATCCAGCAGAATTCTGGTGCAGGATCTCCTGTTGCTTTCACTGTCAGCTTTACAATTGTATCTAGATGTGCTGTAACATCACTGAGACCAACTGAGAAGTCTGGCTTTGTTTCAGAAGCCTTCCTTGGAGTTGGTGACTTAACTCCTAGGGGGGATTTAACTCTCTGTGGAGAGGCCGTGGGCTCAGGAGATCTACTTCCTTTAAAGGACTGGATTGCTTCAGGTGATTTAATTCGAGACTCTGGGGTCTTGGAACCTGGAGATACTGGAGATGTCACCCTAGGCTCTGGTGACTTCACCATAGGGGACTTGATATGAGGTTCAGGTGACAATGCAGATTTCAATCTGGGTTCAACAGACTTTACCATGGGTGATAATTTAATTTCTGTGGGTGATTTTCCTCGAAGCTCTGGGGATTTAGCACCTGGAGACACCGGCGATTTTACTCTAGGCTCAGGTGACTTCACCTTAGGTGGTGATTTTATTCCTATAGGTGACCTAATACGAGGCTCTGGGGACTTAGCAAAGGGAGATTTTACTCTGGGCTCAGGTGACTTTACTTTAGGTGGTGATGCAATAGCCGTCTCTTTCGGTGTTGCCTTGCGGACTGTGAGGCTGAACTGTGCCTCTTGATGGCCCTCAGAATTCTCTACAAACACAGTATAGCTGCCTTCATCTAATGTATTAACAGAAGAAATATCTAAGGTGGACTTGTTATCTGTTGTACTCACATGGTGACGATGCCTAGAAACAATAACCTGTCCTTCACGTGCCCATGTCACACTGGGTGTTGGATCACCATCAAAATCACATATAAACTTAGCATATTCTCCTTCAGATACAGTAAGAGACTGTGGTTTTACCAATATTCTGGCAGGTAAAGTGGTTTTCACTTCCTCCTGCACTATAATTTCCTGCACTGCTGTGACCTCTACAGCTTCCACCAGCATTTCCTCACAGACAGTCAGTTCTTTCACTGTTGTCACCTCTGTTTTTTCAGTAGATTTACGCTCTTCATATTGGACGTGTTCATGGAGTTCAGTTACTTCCATGTGTGTTTCAGATGTCGAAGCTGCTTTCAAGGAGGACACGTCAGTCTTTGTCATTTCAGGAATATAAGGTGTGGGGGGCTCTTCTTCTTTGCGAAGAGAAGATATTGTAGTAAAGCCCACTCCTGAAACATCTAGAGTGGCATAGTCAGAGGCTTCTCCCTTCACGTTTCTACAAACAACACGATATGTTCCACTATCCTCTGCCTGGCAGTCAAAAATATGAAGTGACAAAACCCCACTGATGTTGCTGAACTGGAATTTTTTGCCCTCATGAATTTCTTGTCCATTGTGGTACCACTTGAATTCAGCATCTGGCTTGGCCTGAACATTCAGGGTAAATTTGGTGTTCTGGCCAACAGGTACGCGGTGTGAGCGCATCCTCACAGTTACCCGTGGGGCATGGTCAAGGCTGAAGGGTTGCTGAGTCACAACCTCATATTTTCTTTCAGATTTCAGGGCTGCTTTTCTTGCCTCATATCTGGACATGATGTCAGCTTTTGTGGGCCCCTCGACTTTAGTGAGTCTACTGTCAGATATAACTGGACTAGGGGGGCAAATTGGTGCTTCTTCAGGGGTGGGAGACCTTCTGTGTGGCACAAACACAGGCCGAGCTTCTGGGGTAAATACAGAAGGTGTAATACTCGCTTCCACCCCCTCTGATATTACTGATGAAACTTGTACTCTTTGTTCTTTCTTCAAAACTCTAGTTTTCTCTTCTGCTTCTATGCATTTCAGTTTACTTTGATAAGAAGATAGCTTCTGTGTTGTGGCTACAGGACAAAGAATTTCATGATCTTCTCTCTCTGCATGCACTCTTTGTTTTTGTTTCGGAGGTCTGTATGTAATCCTCTCATATCGTTGGCGGAGATCAATGAAGCTTGGACCGGCTTCAAATTTGGATGGAATACGGTAGGAGTCATACAATTTTACTTCCTCCTCTTCCTCTTCCTCATCATATACCCTTCGCTTTGGTGGTGTATGTCGCAGTGGGGAAAGTTCAAAACGCACAGGACTGAGACTAGGTGGAGATGCAGAAAAGCCAAGCTGAAGTTCATCTTCAAGTCGAAGCCTCTCTTCTTCAGTCTTCTTCATTGATAAATAGTCACGGACTGGGAGGAGCAGCTCTTCATCTGACAGGTCACCAAGTGACCTTCTTCTTGGTCGATAGAAAGCCTCAGACTCAGGAGACGGTGCACGGTATCTTGCTGGTCTTACTGTTTCAATATCATCCTGAGATGTCTTTGGAATGTGCCTAGACTTATAAAAGGTTTTGATTCTTGGTTGAGGCACCTCATAGAATTTGTCCCATCTAGAGAGGCGAATGCGTTTCGGGCGTTTCTGTGGATGTTTTTCCATGCGCTCTGGCATTTCATACTGGTCACGCAGTATTTTGTACCATTTCATGTCAGAGAGTGGTACAAAGTATTTTATTTCATTGTCTTGCTCTAGGGCAGTTGCAGCACGGACACGCGGTTGTGGGACATCATATGGCATGCGAAGCCTCTTTTCCTCTGCTCTCTTCTTCCTTTCTTCTTTTTCTTTTTTATCCTCCATTTCAACTTTGTCTTTTTTAGTCAGTGCTGGTTTGTACATAGTTGCTGCCTCTCTCAATGCCTGTTGAGCCACAGGGGTTAGTGGAGTGACTTCTGTGCCTGAAAGGATTTGTGAAAGCCTCACCTTCTTGTCAATCTCCACCTTTTGAACTCGCTCTTTTTTCTCTGCCTCACTCTCATATTCTTTTTTCACATGAGCAACACGCTCAACCCTGAGAGTTGCTTGGCAACTTGCAGAGCCAGCTGAATTTGTAGCTGTGACTCTGTATGTACCTGAATCTTCTGGAAGAATATCTCTAACATGCAGGACATAATAATCCAGGCCTTCATGAATAACCTCAATCTGTGGGCCAAATGACAGAGGCGTGCCATCTTTCTCCCACTTCAAGATAGGTGACCCTGACACTCTCACTTCAAAGCGGACACTTTGGCCCTCTCTGCACTCTACATTAGCAAGTACACGCTTGAACATAGGTCTTATTGTACTATCCGCAGGAGTTGGCCGAGGTGTTACTGTGAGACGTGCCTTACAGCTGTCTTCACCAAATCTGTTGCGGGCCACAACAGTGTATTCTGCATCATCCTCAGGCTCAATATTACGAATAACAAGCTGATAGAGACCCTTATCACTTGTGAAAATGTATTTCCTGTCATCATCTCCTGGTGTAATCTTTTGTCCAGATTTCAACCACAGAACACGAGGCTCTGGGTGAACTGTTATAGTGACTCCAAAACGCACATCTTCAGCGATATGTGCACTTTGGCTGATCAGAGGGAAAGTAAATTCAGGTGGTTTTTGAAGAAGTCTAGTTGTATCTACTCTGCGTTTCACTTTCTTCACGGGGCGTGCAAAAAAGTAGTCCTGGTATGACCTGACTCCTTGGACAAACAGCTCTGCATAAGCACTATCCTCACCACACTCATTAACAACTTTACACCTGTAGGTGCCATCATCAGCTCGGTTAACTCCTCTGACAGATAAGATGGCTAATCCATCTTCATAACTGATTTCATACTTGTCATTTTCCTCCAGTTGTCTAACTCCACAGTACCAAGTTACCTCAGTACTGCTGTCATAGTTTTCAATATAGCAGACAAATTTGGCATCATCGCCTTCCTCTGTAATGTTATGTTTGATCTGACCAGCAATGGGACCATGTTCAAATGGTGCAATCTTTGCCTTGCTAACTGTGACCCCTCTCTGACTTCTGATAGCACCACCATTAGCTACACGAGCTGCCGAAACAACAACATTCCATTCTTTCTTGACTACTGTCTGATAGTATCTGGTATGTCTTGTAGTTTTAATAGCTGTGTTGCTAAGTTGTTCGGGTTCAGTTTTTAGCCAAGGATGCTCAAGAGCTTCAGCTGCTGTCATGCGATGCTTGCGGTCTTTAGTCAGCAGCCGGTCCACAAAGTCTAAGGCATCAAGTCTGACTTTCTTGAAGGCTTCATCATCAAAACTGTATTCTGCATTGGAGATGTTATCAATGACCTGCTGATTAGTTTCAGCTGTAAATGGATTAAGCCCACTAATAAGCACATATGCTAGCACACCAACTGACCACATGTCAGTGACAGTACTAACTAGGTCATGTTGGTGGATTTCGGGAGCGCAGTATTCAGGTGTTGTAAACTGAATTTTGACACTGTCTCCAGGTGTCAGATGTCTTGCCTGACCCATCTCAATGATCTTGATGTTAGTGCCCTTTCTTGTGGTGTAGACAATGTTTTCAGGCTTTATGTCAAAATGGCCAAAACTCTTGCTGTGTAGGAATGCAAGGGCTTCACATACTTGTTTAATGTATTTTACTATGACTCGTTCAGTGAGCTCAAAGTCAGGTGATGCAATGCGTTCAAAAATGTCCACGCCTGAATTAAAGTCATAAATCATCACAAGTTCTTCAGGACTCTCAAATGATTCATGGAGACACAAGAAGTTCTTGTGTCGAGAGAGGTTAAGTGTGGCAATTTCCTTCTTTACAATGGCTTGATCAGCACCTTTTACTTTTACAAATTTAACCATGAAGGTTTTCTCTGAGCTTATTTCAATGCAGCGATGAACTATGCCAAAGTTTCCTCGCCCTAATTCCTCAGCAATCATATACTTGTTATATAAGTTCTTCATTTCTGAATTTGGAGCTTTACTCGTCGAGACTTCTGTAACGTCATCCACTTCCTCATCATAATTCAGGACTCGTGACTTGTCTTCCTTTGTTACAACTGGACTTGTAGGCTCGGATGGCTCACTTTGCCCAAATTTGTTTTCAGCAATAACACGGAATTGGTAACTTGTCTTTCCAAACAGATTAATGACTGTGTAGTGTGTATCACGCGCTTGGGCTACACGCATCCATTTTTCCGCTGTGGTAGCACATTTCTCCACAATGTAGCTGGTGACTTTGCTTCCACCATCACTAGCTGGTGCACACCAGTTTAGTGTGACAGAGTCCCTGGAGACATCACTGGCTTTGACACCTCTCGGTGGATCTGGCACGTCTGCAACATCAAGCTCAACTGTCTGCTGGTCAATGCCAAATCTGTTCTTTGCACAGACAATATAGAAACCAGCATCCTTCCTTTCAACTCCATTAGAGAAAACCAAGGATGTGAATGATCTTGTAACAATTACTTGATAGTATCCATTATTATCAATGAGATCTTGTCCTTTCTGCCAAGTAATCACTGGATCAGGCTTTCCACTGAATGGAATCTTGATGCTGACCACTTCACCACGGAGAGCATGTACTGCTTCTTTTTCTTGAAGATTTTTGGGCAGATGAATCTTGGCGGGTACTGCAAAGTATAGAAATATACAGATTAATGTGGAAAATTAATGAGACAACAATAGTAAAAGTTGTTTAGTTGAAGTAGGGCTTGCATACCTTCAACATCCAGAGAAACAGTTGCAGCAATTGACCCTCCCTGGTTTGTTGCCCGAACCTGGTAAGCAGTGGAATCTTCTTCATCGGCAGCATTGATGACGAGCTGATGATAGCCACCTTTGAATTCCTGAACAGTTATTTTCTCGCCATCTGAATGAACTTCTTTACCACGTTTGTACCACTTAACCACAGGCTTAGGTTGTCCACTGATCTTGCAAACTAAGGTTGCCTTGCTCTTATATTTGACACTCATGTTTCTCAGTTCTTCTTTGAAGGCAGGAGCACGGATCTCAACATCTAATTTTGGAATAATAGGTGTAGAAGCTTCAGTCCAATAACTCTCTCCCCCAAGATTTTCGCATTTTACTCTGAATTCATATGACAAGCCTTCAACAAGTCCCTTGACACAGTAGACCGTTTGATGAATTTCATCAGTAGTCACTGCAGTCCATTGGTTTGATTTCTTATCTCGCTTCTCAAGGCAGTAATTTTTAATCTTAGAACCTCCATCACTGATAGGTGGCTTCCAAAACACCACACAGGAGTCTTTGGTTATTCCAGAAACATTTAGTTGTTGTGGCACTCCAGGTTTATCTGTAATTTGTAATAGGTTATTCAAGCAGCTACTTTTAACATTCATTGTGTTATCAAATGTTGCCAAGATTTTACTTACCTAACTGACTCTTAATAAGGACAACTTCAGGAATATCTAGAGGATCACTGTTGCCATAGCGGTTTTGAGCAGAAACACGGAAGTAATAACCAGCTCCCTCAGTAAGATTGGGAACTCTGCATGATGTTCCTGATATTGATGATGATACTAGAAGCCATGGCTCGCCTTCAGGTTCTTCACGCTTTTCTACAATGTAGTTTGTTATCAGAGCTCCACCATCATCAGCTGGTGGTTTCCAGCTGATTATTACAGAGTTCTTTAAAAGAGCATCAACTACAATTGGTCCTTCAGGTTTTCCTGGTTTATCTAGAAACAAAAGAAGAAACAGAATGTTTTATGATTTCATAAAATATGTAGTATCTATACATTAATTCAATACTTCCACTTTAATTGATATATTTTATTTAGCTTGCAGCTATTTTTAATTTACTGAACAAAGAAAAGGTACTTTTAGGCTGACTGTCTGCATGAAAAGTGCTATATAAAAAGTTATTACTAAAATGATTCTTCATTATTATTACAGATTAAAATAATACAGATTATTGTTTACCTTGAATATCGACATCAAGTATAGTGTCAACTGTACCAAACAGATTTCTGAACCACACTTTATATTTTCCAGCATCCTTGCGATGCACATCCTTGATGACCAGATGGGTGTAATGATCTGTATTTTCAATTATGACTTTATTAGAAGGTTCTAGAGGTTTGGTGTTGTGGAACCACATAATCTTTGGTTCAGGGCGTCCAATATACACGACGTGCAGACGCAGACTTGTACCACAGCCTGCATAGTATTTTTCCTTTAGAGGGTAGCCTGGGTTGATCTGTGGAGGAGCCTCCAAGACAAGTTTTCCACTTGTTTCTGTCTCTCCAGCCTCATTGACAGCTTTACATGTATAAATCCCTTCATCCTCCTGGGCATCAGCCAACACTTTAAGTGAATGAGTGCGACCATCACTACTCATCGCGTACTTCCGGCTCTCAAGTAGCTCCTTTCCATGCCGGTACCATTTTATCTCTGGCAAAGGTCTGCCAATGATCTGGCACTTCAGTGTGGCATGCTGTCCTAGCTTGACAGTGACTTCCTCAATCTCTTTCCGTAGGCTTGGTTTATCTGCAACTGGAGAAAAACATTTTTAAATTACACTTAATTACACTTGAGCTTCATAAATGTTTTGTGCATGTGCTCCTGGAATAGGCTGTTTAATTAACTGACAGCAACATTAAATATACATACCACTCAGCTGAGTTTTAATTGCTGTAGCAGTCCTCCGTGGTCTGCTGATTCCAGTTTCATTTTCAGCAAACACTCTGAATTCATATTCAGTGGCATCTTTGAGACCACCTACAGTAAACTCTTTGTTCTTTGTATGTTCTATGTTGCATTTCCGCCATGTACTTTCTCCAGACATCCTGTACTCAACCCAGTAACCTAGGATCTCCTTTCCACCATCGCATTCTGGACGCTCCCATCGGATGGAAATATAGTCTTTTGTAACTATGACTACATCGATCTCACCTGGCTGGCTTGGTTTGTCTTTAAGAAAAATATCACACATATGATCTGTCAGATATCACTGAAAACATTTGGTGGCTTTTGTCATGCATCTTAGAAAATTAAGCTACCTACCAAATGGGTCTTTGCAAATTATAGAATCTGATGAAGGCCCTGGGTCGCTCTCGCCAATTTCATTTTTGGCTACAATACGGAAATGGTATTCCTTCTCAGGAGTGAGCCCAGAGAGGGTGTACATGGTAGTAGTAACTTGAGTTTCATGGCGTTTCCACTTCTCAGTGCCTGCTTCTCTAAGTTCAATAAAATAGCCAGTAACAGCAGAACCACCATCATACTTGGGTCTTCCCCATGCTAGAGCAACAGAGCTCTTTGTGACATCCAGAATTTCTGGTGGGCTACTTGGAGGTTCTGGTGGACCTATCAGTTTAAACAGATGATATGGTAAGATGATGCCATTCAGTCATTCATATTAAAAGGAGATGGTAAATATAAAATTCACAAATTTTTACAAACTGAAACACATGAAAATGAAACTCACACAGAGGTGTCTTTGGTGTCACACTTTGGTCTGATTTCAGATATCTGCTAGTGCCAAACTGGTTCTCAGCTGTCACCTTGAATTCATACTCAATGTTCTCTTTCAGTCCCTTCACAACCACAGATGTGTCAACCACCCTTGTATCTACTGTGTACCAGGCAGCTTTGGGAACCTTACGTCTCTCAACAATGTAGCCAAGTATTTCTGAGCCACCATCATCTGCAGGAGGTTTCCAGCTTACTTTTACAGAATGAGCTTGTATGTCATCAAATCTAAGTGGACCTTCCGGTGGTGCTGGGGGCCCAATAATTTTCACTTTTATATGCACCATTTTTTTGCCACACTTATTCTCTAGCATGAGACTGTAGGTTCCACTGTCTTCTCTGATGGCTTCCTTGAGTACAAGCTCAGTGTTATCTTCACTGGTAGCAATCATTGATTTCTGGGGAAGCTCACAACCGTCTTTTGTCCATTTGCAGATAGGGTTTGGTTTGCCCTTGATGGGTATGCATAGCCTGATTACTCCACCCTGCCTGACAATAATGTCATCTTTGTACTTGGTTTCTAGATCGTAAGAAGGAGGTTCTGGAAAAAAGTGTGTGAAATAGCTGTTACACTTATGTGTATTCAAATTGAACGACCAAAAGCAGAAGAGTGAAAATTTATTACATTCTTACCCAGCATCTCTGTAACTTTGACAGTGCCTGGGACTTCAGCAGGTTCCCCTGATCCACCGGCATTACAAGCCAATATACGGAATTTGAACTCCTCACCCTGTGGCATCTGCGTGAGTGTGTACTCACAGATCAATGAGGGCGTTGTGTTACATTTGATCCAATTGAACGAACCAACCTTCTGCATTTCTATTAAATAGCCCGTGACTTTGGAGCCTCCTTCCTCATCTGGTGGACTCCAGGCCAGAGACACAGATGTCCTTGTTGTATCTACAACTCTAGGGTTTTGTGGAGACCCAGGGGGATCTGTCCAAAAATAAAATATTACATATAACATATTTAAATGTTATATGAACAACTTTCAAAAACAACTATGCTCTATGAAATTTTTTTTTTTAATACAATCCAAAAATGTAACCTACCGACAGGATCTGTTGCCACCGCAGGTTTCGAGACAAGGCTGGGTTTTCCAATACCCCTAGAGTTAATGGCTGTAACTCTGTGTTCATACTCAAGGCCTTCAATCAGACCAGTAGATCTGTATCTGGTCATCGTCACTGGATTCTTGTTAGCACGCACCCATCGATCAGCTCTGACTTCTTTACGCTCAATGATATATCCAGATACCTTGGAGCCCCCGTCTTCATCAGGAGGGAGCCAGGCAATAGTCATGCCATCTCGAGAGACGTCAAACACATCTGGTCTTCCAGGTGGCCCAGGTATAGCTATAAATGGCAAACAAATCTCCTCAATCAATCCCTTGTGGAAACTTTGACATGTTTAAAACATTGCTATTTATTAAGAAAGCCACTTACTCTTGGTGCTCTTGCATACCACGAGATCAGACTGCAAGAATGATCCAGTGCCAAAGCGATTTGTGGCAGCGACACGGAACACATACTCATCTCCCTCAGTCAGATTGGTGAACTTGTAGGTAGGTCTGCTCACAGATTCAGACACAGGAATCCATCCCGGACGATGAGCATCGCGCATCTCAACATTATAGTTAGTGAGAGGGGCACCACCATCTCTCTGGGGTGGATGCCAGGAAATAGTGACAGATGTGGCGTCGATCTCATCAAACCTGACTGGACCTGTAGGCTCATCAGGTTGGTCTGATAGAAAGAGGATTTATGTCATTAATCATTTACTCTTTCTTGTCTTCAGAAATATCATTCTATCAAATCTTTTAAGTGAAATATGTCAAATTTCATTCTCACCTAGAATGATCACTTTGATGATCTCTGAGGCACTTCCCATGGCATTATTCAACTCAAGTGTGTAATCGCCTGTGTCATCAATTGTGGTATTGCTCACCGTCAACTTGGAATATTTTCCTGTGCTTTCAATCTTGACACGTTTATGTATTTTCAATTTTACATCACCAAAGTACCATGAACAGACCGGAGGAGGTCTACCGATGATTGGCAGGCACAGTTCAATTGGTTTCCCTGCCAACAAACTGATAGACTTCTGAGGAATGGCAGACAGATCAATCTTGGGCAATACTGTAAAAGGAGTTAAAAACAAATTAGATATTACACAAAAAGGTATGTTACAAATATAGTACATCTTTATATTCTAGTCTGATAGTATTAGTTACCGAAACACAGACGAATATGCAATTTTAATAATAAATTTACTCATTTACCTCTTTGTTCTTGGACAGTTACAGCAGTTACGATCTCTCTTGGTTCACTTACTCCCCTACTGTTCATGGCTCTGACCCTGAAAAGGTACTGCTCATGCTCATTCAGAGAAACAATGGTATGCTGGAAATCTGTCATCTTCAAAGTAGCCACCTTCATCCACTTGTCTATTCCAAATCGGCAAGCTTCAATTACATAGCCAGTAATCCTACTGCCACCATCATGAAGTGGTTTTTCCCATGCCAATGTAACAGTGGACTTTGTGATATCTACAATGTCCAGTTTCTGTGGAACCATGGGTACCTCACATACTAGCACAACGTCACTGGTTTCACAAGGCTCACCAATACCGTATATGTTCTCTGGCAAGACTCTAAAGTAATAAAGCATTCCTTCTGTAAGACCTGTGATTCTGTATGATGTCTTGTGACATTTAGATGTCACTGTCTTATAGGCTCTCATTGATGTGTCCCGTCTTTCAATAATGTAGTTATTAACTGGTGCTCCACCATCAACACTTGGAGCATCCCAAGCAATCAAAGCTGAATCCTTTGTGAGTTCCTTAATTTTAAGAGCTCCAGGTGGCCCAGGTGTATCTGAAATGCAGAAAAAAGAAGTTTCCAGCCTTTTCTGATAAATGCTTACTGCTACAAAAAACACAGACATTACTAGATCTTGATTATGGGGTCTTACCATAAATCTTCACAAGAATACTGGCTGACTTCTTTCCCGATGAATTATCTGCTTCAATGGTGTATTTGCCAGCATCATAGCGATGTACTTTGTCTATAATCAAAGTCGAGTGATGCTTGGTGACTTCAATAAATCCTCTGTTCTGAAGATCCACATCAGGTTTGCTCCAAGTGACAACTGGAGTAGGTCTTCCAGTCACAGTGACACACATTCGGAGCAAACTGCCAGCTCTTAAGCAGATAGTCTTCTTCAGCTCATCAGAAAGCTCAAGATCAGGTGCTTCTGTTTGGACAAACCAGTATAACATTTTCATGTGATGTCTTTATTTTACTCCTCATGCCCAAAGGCTAGTTATCTGGTTAAATAGCAGTACAGAAATACAAAGTTGAAAAGTATATATTAATTATGAAAAGAATTAAATTAATCATTAAAGAAAAAAGATTTTTAAAGACAAATACCTTTATTCTCATAACTTACCTAGCTCCATTACATGTGTAAAATGAGTTTTATTAAGCTGTGTAGTATATCACATTTACATTTAATGTATTTGGCAGACACTTTTGTCCTAAGTTATGTACAAGTGAGTGAAATAGCACATTACAGCTAGGTTAGGCATAAATGCAGCTAGTCTGAGCTTCCAGTGAATGCCTAGTTAATATCAAGCATCTAACCATGTACTGTCACAAAAGGGTTATGATTTCTCTCACCGAGTCTCTCCACAGGCTCCGTTTCACTGCAGGGATCACTGAAATCCCCAGTACCATTGACATTAATTGCAGCTACTCTGAAGACATATTTCTTACAGCTGGCAAGACCTATAACGGTGTATTCCGGCACCCTCAGTGTTTTTTCATGAGCTTTACTCCACTGCTCTGCTCCTACTTCTTGCATTTCAAGCACATAACCTATCACATCTGCACCACCATCTTCTGTTGGCCTCGTCCAAGCCAGGCTGACGCTGTCCTGTGTTGTGTCCGTCACTCTTGGGATTGAGGGAGGAGCTGGCACAACTTGAAGAGAAATACAGTCAAGTCAGTACATTTATGTGCATTTCATGTAATGATTTATATGTTCAGTGATTTATACATTTGATATCCATATGACTAATATTTGACATTTGGGTTAATCTGCCTTGGGTGTTTTTTGGGCGTCACCACTTACAGGTCATCTCCCTGCACACAGCATAGAGGGACACTTCACTGGGCTCACTGTCTCCAGCTTCATTAATGGCCATAACACGGAACTGGTAAACGCCACCAGTCTGAAGACCAGTGACTTTGAATGAGGTGCCACTTATAGTGAAATCTCTGTTGACCTTTGTCCATCTGATGGCCTTCCTTTCATGTTTCTCTATTAAGTAATTGGTTATCTCACTGCCACCATTGTTCTCAGGCTTCAGCCACTCAATAGTGGCAGAATCATTTCCTATGGCTATAATTTCTGGTGCGCCTGGAGGGGACGGCACAGCTGTAATATAAGAAAGAACATTCGTTTAGCAGTCTCTCAAAAACAACATTTATATTATACAAAAACATAACTGCTTACCATACAGTTTGATCCAACATTTTATGCTTTACACATTTATAATTAGATCCATTAGTGAAAAGTTTGTTCTGGCTGACTATAGTGTAATGTCATTGTCATATTTAAGCAATATAATACATGCAATAAAATCAATTAAAAAAAAATCAGACTTACTGAATGTATTTCTGGCAACAACAGATTCAGACTGCAGTGGTATGCCAGAACCATACTTGTTTACACCTCTAACTCGGAAGAGGTATTCATGATTCTTTATCATCTTGGAGATGACACAAGATAGGCTCTTACACTCAGGTTCCATTATAACCCAGTTGAGACGGTTGGTGTCACGTCTCTCAACAATGTAATGTGAGATCTCATCTCCACCATCCTGCAATGGTTTCTTCCAAGACAAAGTGCATTTTTGCTCAGAAATGTCACTAATAGTGATCTTGTCTTCACAAGGTCCAGGTGAATCTACAAATGTGATGATGTTGGAATTAAATACAAACAACAATATTCAAAATAAAAATTCATTTCAGCCATTTTCCAGTCCACAGTAGGCTTCCTGAACACTTGAACACTTACCCAGGACTTTAACTTTTACTGTTGCAGTCTTGACACCACTGGCATTCTTCACTGTCAGGTTGTAAATTCCAGAATCGTTTCTGTCACAGAACTTAATGATAGCCATAGCACGTGTGTTAGTGTACTGTAAGAAGTACTTCTCACAAAGCTCTAGTTCTTTATCTCCTTTAGCCCAGAAGACCTTGGGGTCAGGTTTACCACCAACAGCAGCATCAAGTACAAGGTCTGACCCTGATCTAACAGTAAGTGTTCCTGCAAGAATTTTGCTGTCAAGTTCAACTGTAGGCGGACCTAAAGAAAAGAAAAAATAGTGAATCTGTTGTTTAATTATTGCTTTGTATAGGAAAACATGTCAAGTGTAAAAGGTCCCATGTATCTTACTGTATTCTGCCTTGCACTGCACGGAGCCAGTAGAAAGAGAGGGCAGGCTGTGAACTCCAGCTGTATTCTTTGCAATCACCCGGAACTCATAGACTTCACCCTCACCCAGAGCTGTCACAGTGAAGTTCATCTCTGTAATGTTTGTGTAGTTGCACTTAAGCCAGCGACCCTCACCTGTACTGGTGTATGGTTTGCGCTCTACAATGTAGCCCACTATCGGACTGCCGCCATCATTTAACGGTGCAGTCCACTTAAGGGATACAGTGGATCTCGTGACATTAGTCACTTCTGGTTTGCCAGCTGGATCTGAGTATGAGAGACATATAAACATATACTTAATTTCTTCTAAAGAAACACTGAACATGAAGTTACTGCCTCAAAGGAACTGCCTACTCACCAACTGGGTTCTGAGCCACCATTCTCTTGGAGGCTTCGCTTGGCTTGCTTAGGCCTGCAGCATTCATTGCATAAACTCTGAACTGGTACTCAAGGCCTTCAGAAAGTTCAGTCACTTTGTAGTAGCACTCAAAACATGGGACCTTGTTTTCTCTGACCCAAAGAATTGTGTTGCGTTCCTTCTTTTCAATCCAGTAACCATTCACCTTACTGCCACCATCATGATATGGCTCCTCCCAGCGAATACTCATGTAGTTTGCGCTCACAGAAAAGACTTCAGGCCGTGTGGGGGCACTTGGAGGAACTTTAATAAAAATAAAGAAGCAACAATTCAAATCACATTTCACTTTAAATATATTCCAGTTATGCTATTTGCAAATCACCACAAAGAATACAAATAAATAATTTTGCATCATGAAGTTACACTCACCGAAGGGATGCTCAGCAATAATAGTCTCAGATTCAGTGGGCTTGCTTACACCAAATCTGTTTTCAGCTGAGATACGGAAAGTATACTGCATGTATTTAGTCAGACGGGAGACCTGGAATTTTGTGCGCTTCACACTAGAATTCACAAGCTGCCAGGCAGTAGAGCCAGATTCACGCTTTTCTATGATGTAATTGGTGATATCAGTGCCACCATCATCTTCAGGTGGTTCCCAAGTCAACACACAGGACTCTGATGTGATTGATGAGACCTGAATGGGTCCTGTGGGTGCACTTGGTCTGCCAATAACATTGACAGTGACTGTAAAGGTTTTGGATCCAGCGATATTTTCAAGGTTAAGGAAATATTTGCCTCCATCACCCCTCATGCACTCCTTGACTATCAAGGTGGTCCTGTCTTTTGTGGTTTTAAGTGAGACTCGGTCCGTCTCCTTAAGTCTCATTTCTTCAAGCTTCCAAGTCACCTTAGGCACTGGCCTCCCACTAATAGGAACGTCAATAGTGAAAGTAGTTCCTGATTTGCATGTAATAAGTTGCTCAGTAATACCACTGAGATCTGCAGTTGGCTCAATACGAGGTTCTTTAATGATGACAGATGCAAGTGCTTCTCTTGGTTCACTGAAGCCAGCATCATTCTTGGCCTTGACGCAGAATTCATATTCTGTGTTTTCGGCAAGGCCCTCAATGACCATACTTAGAGAATTAGTGTGACCACCAACAACCCAATTATTGGTGCCCTTTGCTTTGGTTTCAATAATATAGCCAATGATACGACTTCCACCATCATGCTCAGGTTTCAACCAAGCAAGGGTAGCAGTGGAATCTGTTGTGTCCACAATGTCCAGTCTCTTTGGTGGAGCAGGTTCTGCTGTGGCAATGACTGGATCAACAGTTTCAAATGCTTCACCCTGGCCATACTGATTTTCTGCAAAGACTCTGAAGAAGTATGGAACACCTTCTAACAAATCAGTAACTCTTAACATTTGAACAGAGGACTTTCTGACTTCCTGCCAACAACGTCGGCTAGCCTCACGTTTCTCAACAATGTAGTGATGAATTCGAGCTCCTCCATCATTACTTGGGGCATCCCATTTTAGGGTCAGAGCTCCTCTTGTGACATCCATGAAGGAGAGTGGTCCAGGTTGCCCAGGTGAGTCTAACACTTTTACTATAAATGTTGTACAATTGCTGCCAGCACTGTTCTCAAGAGTGAGGGTGTATTGTCCAGAATCATCTCTATTACAATTGTCAATCGTCAAGGTAGTATAATTCTCTGTGGTGCTAACATCTGCCATTACACTAAGTTCTCCTTGTACCTTCTTCCATGTAGCTATAGGGACAGGTCTACCTTTGAAAGCAATATGCAGATGGACAATACCACCATTCTTCACAACATGTGTCTGTTTGAAACTTGCATCAATTTCAAACTCTGGACCTGAAAGCCTGTCCACAACCTGTACAGGTTCCAAAATCTCCCGGGCTTCTCCCTTCCCTGCTTTGTTTACCGCAAAGACACGGAATTTGTACTCTTCACCACTTGCCAGATCTGTTACAGTGTACCTATTAGTGGTACAATATTCAGTGTTGACTTTTTCCCATTCTTTTGAGGTTGCTTTACACTTCTCAATAGTGTATCCGATAATCTCCATACCACCATCAGATGCAGGTTTTGTCCATTCTAAACTGACAGATGTGTTTGTAGAATCTTTCACATTCACCACAGACGGAAGGGTGGGCACGGTGGTCGGTTCACAGCATTTTATAAGAACTGATGTATTGCTTGGTGTACTGATTCCGGCATCATTTATGGCCATCACTCGGAATTCATACTCATGACCTTCCGTAAGACTTGTCACTCTATGGGCTGGCTCGGTGATAGGCCTCCTTGACAAAACCTTTATCCAGCGCAAAGTCTTCTTCTCACGTTTTTCTAAAATGTAGTATTTAATTGCACTTCCTCCATCAGAGCCCGGTGGTTCCCAGGACAATGTAATGCTGTCACCTGTAATACCGGTTGAATCAGGTGTGCCAGGAGCATCAGGAACAGCTGTAAGAGAAATACATACATGTTTATTGAATGTGGTTTAAATGTATGTTTAATACTTATCACATTAAGCTTAAATTAACAAGCTGGACTTACTATACTGCATTTGGGCTATGATTGGGTTAGATTCCAATGGCCTGCTTGCACCGAACTTGTTGACGGCAGAAACACGGAACTGATATTCATTGGTCTTGAGCAGCTTTGTAGCATTGTATGAGCAGGTATCACACTGGTCTGTTACGAGAGTCCAGGAGATTTTGGAAGTTTCCCGTTTCTCAATGATATAGTGCGTGATGGGGGAGCAGCCATCATTTTCAGGGGGACTCCAAGACAGGGTTGCTTTTCCTTCTGAGATGTTTGTGAAGGTAATAGGCCCTGAAGGCTCACCAGGTTTATCTGATTTGAAAAAATGAATGAGACATAAACATTATTTTCTTCACACTTAAGTTGTATTATAGTAGTTATAATATGACATAATTGAACATATAATAAATCACAATATTTTTTTTAAAATACAAACCTAGAACTTGGACATTAATCTTCTCCTTCTTAGTTCCAGAGCTATTTGTAGCTTCCACCCTGTATATACCACGATGACTACGGTCACCATCTCTGATGAAAAGAGTGCTTGATCCAGAAATTGTTGTAATTTCAATCATCATCCTTTTGTTGATTTCTGTTTCATCCTTAAACCATGTTACTTTAGGCACTGGCCTTCCAGTAACTGAAACTTTAAGTCTGATGCTTTCCCCTGCTTTGACTGTGAGACCCTCAAAGAGGTCCTTGCCAAATTCAATGTTTGGAGGAACTAAAAAAAAGAGTTTGGCATGTTATATTATAATTATGAAATAAAGGGTGTGTGTGTACATCTACACACACGCACACAACCACAGTCGTGCAATCATATCTTTTTGGGCACCACTCATTCATTTCTATGGGAAAAATGCTAATGCTAACTATGACAACCTTAATCCCTACCCAGTCCTAACCATAACCATAAGTAACCAAACAAAATACAAGTTATTGCATTTTTAGTTTTTTCATTGCAGTCAGTTTTCCCAGGAAATTACCAATAAGGTAAAAAAAATGGGTATTCATCACGTTGTGTGGACATTTGGTCCCCGCAAGGTAAGGTATACCAGGACCCCCCGCCACACACACACACAAACACACACACAGAGTATGTAGTACCAGTTAAAAGTTTGGACACAACCTACCCTTTGAGTGGTTTATTTGTACTATCCTCTAGATTTTATAATAATTATATAAACGCAACATAAAAATTATAAAATAACATATATGAACTAGAAACGAAAATTGCTGAAGAAATTTTGAGATGGGCCTATTCTGCTGACCGTGGAAGAGCAGGTGCATTTACTTATTGATTTAATTATTAAGTCTTGTAGCTGTGGCAGGATCAGTGGCCAAATAGGGAATCTTTGACAGAAATGCATTGAAGTCAATGGGAGAGAACGAGGGATGAAAGACGAGTGCGGGTCAAGATGGTGGACTTCGGGTGTTGGGTGATGAGGCCTAAGGTTTAATACTGAGTTTTGTTGCTGTGGTATGAACGCTGGCCGAGTGGGAAAACTTTGACTGAAATACATTGAAGTCAATGGGCCATTCACTGGCATGAAAAAAGATGATCCTTACTACTCTTCACATGGTTAGTTAGGTATAGGCTAATGCTAGGTAAAAGTTAGCATTCAATGCATTCCTATGGGATTTTTAGTGTGTTTGAACGTGAATAACGTCACCATGGTAACATAATCTGCGCAGAAAAGTAATAGCACACCTCACACCATGAAGGACTCACTTTTGATATATAGATTACCTGGCTGCACGCTACGGTGCGACCCGCATTAATTGCTGAAAATCACGGAAGAATAATAATAAACTAGAAACAAAAATTACTGAAGAAATTTTGAGATGGGCCTATTCTGCTGACCGTGGAAGAGCCTGTGCTACTAATAAAATGGCTGGTCTGTGCACTGCTAGGTGATTGCTATGATTTTGGTAATTTGGTGCTATGGTGCTGCTAGGTGGTTGTTGTAGTGCCGCTAGGTGGTTGCTATGGTGTTATTAGGCGTTGCAATGGTGTTGGTAGCTGGTTGCTAAGTGGTTGCTAGGCGTTGCTACGTGGTTGCTATGGTGTTGCTATGCAATTGTAAGCGGTTGCTAGGCTGTTGCTTGGTGGTTGCTATGGTGTCGGAAGGCGTTGGTAAGATTTCGGTAGCTGGTTGCTAGGCATTGGTAGGTGGTTGCTATGGTGTTGCTATGCAATTATAGGTGGTTGCTACAGTGTTGCATGGTGGTTGCTAGGTGCTGCAAGGTGGTTGTAATGATGTCTGAAGGCGTTGCTATGGTCTAAGTAGGTGATTGCTAGGCATAGCTAGGTGGTTGCTATGGTGTTGCTAGGTGGTTGCTAGGTGCTGCAAGGTGGTTACTATGTTGTCATAAGGCGTTGCTATGGTCTCACTACCTGGTTGCTAGGTGGTTGCTAGGCATAGCAAATGGTTGCTATGGTGTTGCTATGCATTTTTTGGTGGTTGCTATGGTGTTGCTAGGTGCTGCAAGGTGGTTGCTATGGCATCAGAAGGCGTTGCTATGGTCTCAGTAGCTGGTTGCTAGGCATAGCTAAATGGTTGCTATGGTGTTGCTATGCATTGTTTGGTGGTTGCTATCGTGTTGCTAGGTGGTTGCTAGCTGCTGCAAGGTGGTTGCTATGGTGTCAGAAGGCGTTGCTAAGATCTCAGTAGCTGGTTGCTAGGTGTTGCTAGGTGGTTGCTATGGTGTTGCTATGCATTTCTAGGTGGTTGCTATGGTGTTGCTAGGTGGTTGCTAGGTGCTGCAAGGTGGTTGCTAGGCATAGCTAGATGGTTGCTATGGTGTTGCTATGCAACTGTAGGTGGTTGCTAACGTGTTGCTAGGTGGTTGCTATGGTGTTAGAAGGTGTTGCTCAGATCTCAGTAGCTGGTTGCTAGATGTTGCTAGATGGTTGCTATGGTGATGCTATGCATTTTTAGGTAGTTGCTATGGTGTTGCTAGGTGGTTGCTAGGTTGTGGGATGGCGTTCCTATGGTGTCAGTAGCTGGTAGCTAGGCGTTGCTATGTGGTTGCTATGCAATTCTAGATGGTTGCTATGGTGTTGCTAGGCATCGCTAGGTGGTTGCTACGGTGCTGCTAGGCGTTTGGTGATGAGGCCTAAGGTTGAATATTAAGTGTTGATGATGTGGCATGAACAGTGGCTGAATAGCACAACTTTGACTGAAATGCATTGAAGTCAATGGGAGAGAACGAGGGATGAAAGACGAGTGCGGGTCAAGATGGTGGTCTTAAGTTGTTTGGTGATGAGGCCTAAGGTTGAATACCGAGTCTTGTTGCTGTGGTATGAACACTGACCGAGTAGGAAAACTTCTACTGAAATGCATTGAAGTCAATGGGACAGAACGAGGGATGAAAGACGAGTGCGGGTTAGATGGTGGTCATGGGGTGTTGGGTGATGAGGTCTGAGGTTGAATACCGAGTCTTGTTGCTGTGGCATGAACACTGGCCTAGTGGGAAAACTTTGACTGAAATGCATTGAAGTCAATGGGAGAGAACGAGGGATGAAAGACGAGTGCAGGTCAAGGTGGTGGACATGGGATAAGAACATAAGAACTATACAAACGAGAGGAGGCCATTCGGCCCATCGAACTCGCTTGGGGGGAACTTAACTAATAGCTCAGAGATGTTAAAATCTCATCTAGCTCTGATTTAAAGGAACCCAAGGATTCAGCTTGCACTACATTATCAGGAAGACTATTCCATACTCTGACTACACGCTGTGTAAAGAAGTGCTTCCTTAAATCCAGTTTGAAATGTTCTCCCGCTAATTTCCACCCACGGCCACGAGTTCTTGTATTTGAACTAATGCTGAAGTAACTATTCGGTTGAACA